ATATATATGTGTGTGTGTGTGCATGTGTGTGTGTGTGTTTGTGTGTGTGTGTGTGTGAGTGTGTGAGTGTGTGTGCGTGTGTGTGAGTGTGTGAGTGTGTGTGCGTGTGTGCGTGTGTGTGCGTTCAATTTAGAAGGCTATGATAAATGTTGCCTAATACCTATGTTGCATAAATATGCATATCGTAAATAGAATGTATGCTGAAATCACATGAAACTGGAGTGCTCGTGTGCAGACTACTTACTTTGAAATGCGTTGGTGGCTTCCGGGTTGTCTAAATGTTTGTCGGGGTGTATTTTTTTACTGAGTTTGATGTATTGCGTCCTGAATAAACTGGGATTGGACTGTTCTCTGCTGACCCCAAGTACTTCATAGTAGTCCTCCGCTTCTATTATTCTTCTTATCGTGACCAGAGCTTCGTCTGATGTATGCGTATTACTATTTTCTGTCTGAGATGACGAGGATTGAGCTGCCGACGGTTTATGTGACTGGCTTGGTGTTGATTGTTGGGCAACAGCCTCCACTCTCACTGCCATGATTACTACGCGCGCAGGTAAGTGATTCTCCTTGGCTTGCAACGACGCTATGAAATATATGATCAACACACAGATCAGAGAGTTATGGGAAGAAGCCACCCATCCCTTTAAATTACACCAATATAGTATACAAGTGCTACGTCGCCTTTGAGCTGATAGTGTAGTTCCTTATGACTTGAAATGTGAACGTTATAGTCTAAGGAGCTGTAGCACATACAACCACGCTTGGCATCAGAACGACGACTTATCCCGATATACAGATGTTGACCTTCTTTATTAAAAACTATAGTATATAGAGTATACGCCTATGCAGTATAGTACAGAGTATCCCGTGCTTTAAGATTTGCCAACGCCCCTACTTCATACATACCAGGAGGCAGGAGCATCAAAATGTGTCCACAGAGTATATATATTCGAAATTTCTCAGTATCCCCCACAGCGCACACGAACCTTTCTGCCTTGGGGATGGGTCATTGACTCATTGGGCCTTGAACTACAGTAATATATTTTAATACTGATTTTTTTAATTTACTATGTAAATTGTAAAAAAAAGTCACATCACTCCGTACTGTCCCGTAGTTCGTACGGCGTACAAACTATGTGCATCCGATATTCGAGCGTCTCTCTTAGTCTCAGACTCTCAGACATTCATACTCTCATTCCTCTCAGGCACTCTGTCCCCCTATCTGTGTATGGGATTTTGAAAAATGGCAGGAGTCTGGGCCCTGGAGGCCTGGAAACGCTCGAGTATTGATGACTCCAGTGACCACTCTTAAGCCTTGCCCCTTGAATCCTTGACTGATGACTCACTCAGGCCTGAGCCCGAGGCCCGAGGGTCTGAGGCAACCAGCCAGAGGTAACCCAGGTTTCGTCTGAAAGGATCTGCTTTACGACAAGCAATAAAAATTAATCAGCAACTGTCGTAAATTATGTACAAGATGTCGGATCTCCGAGAGAATTCCAGTGCCCAGTTTAGAACATGCTTCTCGATTCTCGGATCCGAATTTAAAAATGAGGTATTCTTTAGAAAACATCATGAAAATGTATTTTTTTTAGATTTTGTTGTGTTTAGGGCAATGCGATAATTTTACGAGTTTTGAACTTTGGAATCCACTTGTTGAATAAAAGATATAAAGACTTTTATATTTTATTATTTTATCAAATATTCAGCCGATCAATAGGAACACTTTTTGCGACAGTCAGCCCTGTCGGCCTGTCCGACTGTCCGTTTGTTTCACCAATCACCGCAAGAGAGATCCACGAACCAAAAGTAAAAAAGTAAAAACCCTATATCACATGACAGCTGAATCTGATGATGAGTGTGCAAATATTTTTATGCAAAGCAGCAACACATCATCTTCAATTCTGCATCATCAACATCATCATCACGGTGACATGGTGTTTTGTTTTTGTTTTTGTTTTTTTGCTTTGTTTTGTTTTTTGTTTTTTTGTTTTTGTTTTTATAAAGTGTAAATATGTACAACAAGAAGGCAGCCAGGCCCAGTCGCCAGACACAAATAGACGCAGTCCGGCCTTCGAAGGCTCCGAGAGGCTCCGTCTGACCAGTCTCATAACGTAAAACGTAATTACATGCGTTCAAAATCATTCCGTAAACGTTAAAACATAGTACGTTTACGCTAGGAGCCATGCGTCTATATGCACACTGTGGTAATCATTGACGTAAGTTAATTATGTACTTACGTTTATATTCAATGCGTAAACGTCAAAACGTCTACGCTGTATACGGGTTACATTAATTAATTTTGGCGGCGAGTACTTTTTTGGTGCCAATGTGTGGACTGTGGAGTGTGGACTGTGGAGTCGTGGAGACTGGAGCCGTGGCCCGTAGTCCGTGGAGCGGCCCAGGTCTGCCCGAGCACAGTGTCACTGACGAGATGGCACTGACACATTGATAAATACATGGTTGCCGAGGTCCTTACTGCATAGCCTTCTGAAAATTGAACACAGAAAGCTATGAATATGTAAATACGTGTATTTATATACTGTCATCTAACGCACATAGCCGAGATAATCGAGTATTTGCTAGTGCAAGTCATGACGCTCGCCGCGACATTAATAGTATATATACCCGTTCGTCTGTAGCAAGTAGCAACCACGTATTCTTCCTGTAGCAAAACTAACTACTTCTTTCTTCAATAATATTGCTTTCTCTATAGGTATTTTCACTTGTAACGACTATGGCGGAGATAAACAACGTGTTCACATACGGTACTCTTATGTCAGAAAAGGTACTCATGACAATGTTGAGAAGAGCACCAGAGCATGTGACCGCGCGCTTGAAACAGTATAGTAGGCATCCAATCAAAGATCAATGCTTTCCAGGGGTTATACGAGCATCTACTGGTATGGTAATTTGGGTGTTTAAAGGCTCCTGAGTGCTTATTGGGATGCCGGGCTGTACAAGATTTTAGGTCTCTTTCTGGGTGACATGTTCTTGGAGTTGCTATTTCTTTACAGCATATTACTACGTATATGCCTGTGGATGCATATATACTTATACGTATGTGTACACATATATGGTTGGTTATATGTCAAACCAATCATAACGGTTTTAACACACTGTGCGTCCACCACACCGGCATGTATGTTTTCATTCAGATTATGGTATATATATATATATATATATATATATATATATATGAGTTAATGTATGAGAATGTACGTATCTATGTATCTATGTATCTATATATATATATATACATATGTATAAATGTGTGTGTGTGTCTGTGTATGTATCTATATATATTTATATACATATATATAAATGTGTGTGTGTTTATGTGTGTGTGCGTGTCTGTGTATGTACCTATGTACATGTATTTATGTATCTGTACATGTATGTATCTATGCATGTATACACGTATATATATATATATATATATATGTGTGTGTGTGTGTGTCTGTCTGTCTCTCTGTGTGTCTCTGTGTGTATTTATCTGTATGTCCATATATATTATATATATATAAATATATATATATGTGTGTGTGTGTGTGTGTGTGTGTGTAAGTATGTCTGTATGTC